TAAGGTGGCCAGGTGCCACCAGCAAACTGTTACAAGCATGGCGTTGCAGAGGGGTATCTGTGTGTGGAGGTTGGGGGAGGGGGAGAGAGAAGACACCAAAATGTTGGTTCTCCACCACAAGAGCTCCCATCCCCACTAGAAAGAATGCTGTCCTATCTGGTAGCTACTGGTTTCAAGGGGGGTTAGAAAGCAGCCTCGCCCCAGGCAGGTCTCCCTGCAATAAAAAGGCATGTGGCATGGCAGCAGATAGCCCACACAACTTGTGGGGCCTCAGACTGCAGGGCTAAAAACTACACCCTAGATACCAGAGAGACTTTGTTGCAGTGTTACACAGTGTCCCCCTCCCCTGCCACTGCAATAACACTTCCACATCTGTTGATACTGGGGATGCCCCCAGTCAACAGGCTCCAAGTCAAGGTACAAAAACTCGCCTCATATCTGAATTTGAGGGGCCAGAACGAAGGCAATAGATTTTCAAGATGCTCTGGTTCACTCCACCTATCCAGAGTGGAAAAGGACCAGGAAACACTCAACTCAGTTTCTTGAAAGACCAAGGCGGCAGCCTGATACTGCCAGACCTCTCATCACGCCCCAACTAAGAGCTAGAAGTACAGCTGGAACAAACATTCCCAGCATCACTGGTCATTTAGAGTATGTCTACATTTCAGAGAGAGAGAGAGAGAGAGATGCAAATGCAGACACCTGAAACTGCAAGTGAAGTGGGGATTTAAATATCCTGTGCTTCACTTGCATAATCATGTTATGGCACTATTTCAAGAAAAAAAAAAAAAAGAGGGGGGAGGAGGGTTATTTTGAGAAACCCTTCCCTTGAAATAACCCTTACTCAAAAAATGAGTAGGGTTATTTCAAGGGAAGGGGTTCTCAAAATAACCCCCCCCCCCCTCGAAATAGTGCCATAACGTGATTATACAAATGAAGCGCAGGATATTTAAATCCCCGCTTCATCTGCGATTTTGGGTGTCTGCATTTGCATTCGAGAGAGAATGAAATTTAGACACACCCTTATATAGAACAGCTTTTGTTCCATCCTTAAATAAGGAAGGAGGAATCTGAAGTGAGCTAATACACTAGGGCTTCCTGGAACAGTCCTGCAGCACAGTCTATAGGTGGAATGAAGAAGCTGCTGCTCCCATCCCAGACAAAGGATTTTGTTACCATTTGCCACCAGGCCCCTATTCAGCAAGCCAGGGGGTGTTCCCCCTACCACTTATTTCATATAGTGCAATGCACTGAGGTTTTCCCTTGCAGAGCAGACAAATATTGCTAGGTTACACCTTAGTGCCAGCTCACTCAGACTGTACTGACTACTGATGAATCAGAGCCATCAAGCAGACAAAGCAAAGGCCTAACCAGGAAGGCTGAAGAAAGAAAGCTAGACTGGATCAGAGAATCTGAAGGGACTGAGTAACCTGCATTATCACATCACACCAAGCATGACTAAGTGTTAGGAATACACCAGGTCTAGAATCAGAGGGGCTTATTCAGCAAAACACACTGTGTGTGTATATGAGTGAATGAGGTCCAAAACTAACAAGGTTACTGACTCACAGCAGTAGATACAAATACACAGAGTGTTCCATGCCATTGCTTGTTTGGCCCTGGGCCCAAGAGAACAGAAGTGGGAGGTTCAGTCTCCATCCACAGTAACTTCCTGGAAAACATTCAGGCAGCTACTGGGGCAGATGGGGGAGGGGTGGCAGCAGGACTTGCTGTTACACACATTCTTAGCAGCTGGGAGTGGAGATTAATGTGTGAGAGACTGCTGTTGGGCATCTCACTGTCAGCCAACTTACACATGCAGGCAGGGTAGTCATTCCATGGCTGTCCCTACACAAACTCAAAACATGCCATATGGCAAGCAGGCCCTTCCCTGGAGCAAGGCGCAACTCCAGCCTTGCTAATTGTGAAGAGCCTGTGCTCTTTTGCAGAGTGGGTCTGGAACAGTGACATTCCTCACACACGCCTGCAAAGGGCACATGAGAGCAGTTCAGAGACTCCAGTGGGGTTTGTGGGCTCAGGGAGAGGCTTAGTGCAATGTGAGTTTCTTTTAACGTTACAGGGACTTGCTCTTCTAAAAGCTGGAGGAAAGTCACCTCCCCTCCCCCAAATATAGTCTACAGGTTCCCCTAGGAAGCAGTTTTTGGGCATGCGGACTCTCCCCTAAATAGGAATTTTCAGCCCATGGAGTGACAAGTCAGTAACCCAGTGGCTCCCTGCCTGCAGCCTATAGGACAGCCTCAGGACCATATAGATAGTATTAGATGCAGCCTACATAAAACCATCTGGCACTTGCCAAATGTCCTCCACAACCACATTCAGCCTAATACTTAGCAGTTACCAGCTGGAAGCTGGCATCTGATCTAAACTGCTGGAGGCCAGTTGCCCTGCCACTTGCTATTACAGTGTTGGAACTGCCTCAGGGCAACTCTTGTGATGGGAGAGAGCAAGACTAATGACTGCAGCCCCACCTATTTCTGGCAGCTGAAGTCAAACCTTACTGCTAATGTGCATTAATAGAATCCTTTAGCTACAGAAAGATGAAATTCAGTTCCAGGATTTCTTCTTGATGTTAAGCAGCTTTTACTCAGTGACTGTCAAGTAAGATTAAGAACTGCCTCAGGGCAACTCTTGTGATGGGAGAGAGCAAGACTAATGACTGCAGCCCCACCTATTTCTGGCAGCTGAAGTCAAACCTTACTGCTAATGTGCATTAATAGAATCCTTTAGCTACAGAAAGATGAAATTCAGTTCCAGGATTTCTTCTTGATGTTAAGCAGCTTTTACTCAGTGACTGTCAAGTAAGATTAACAGACATCATGGGGGGGGGGGGGGGGGGAAGAGAAAACAAAG